GCTGCAACACGCTGAGCATCTTCACATCCCCTTTGTCCCAGTGGGCTCGTCTCATCTGCTGCTTTTTCCTGAAGGGATGATGAACTGAGGACTGCCACTGTCTACAGCAGCGCAGATGCAGTCTGATATTTTTTATTCTGTGCACAGCCTCCTACAGCTTGATTTATATGTCTTTCATCCGAAAAGAGAAAAAGGTGGATAAATCTTCTGGGACTTACGCAGTTCTTTGTATTTCTTTCAGCAGCCCAGAGAAAGAGGCATCTGAGAAGGAAGGAAAGCTTTTCTCCCATGTGTCCAAGCCACCTCTAAGAAACCACATGAGCTATGGCTTAGAAAAAACTCCATTCTTTGGGTTTTAGCATCCAGAATTCACTTAATCCGTAAAATTATCCACATTTAAATCCTACTTAGGAGGAGCTGAGTGCTAGTAAATATTTATCGAACTCCCTAAGGTCCTCAAGAAGAACAAATTTAAAATGAATCATGTCCTCCCATTAGTCTAGATCTTCATCTCTGTGCATTTCCATGTTTATCCAAGGTCCTGATTCTCACCCCTCGTTGCAGTTTGGTTCCAGTTATCACGTAGCTCTGCATCGTGCATTTTATTTGCAAGATACTGTCAAGACAAATGCCCAGATTTTCCTTTGTTGGACAAAAAACCAGTGACTTGGTCTTCAAAAGGTAATAAATGCATACATCCAGTGGCACTCAACAGCCTGAGTACATGGAGACAGCATGTCCTTTCTGCTCCCAGTGCTCGACTCACAACAATTTGACAAATGCCCTCCCCAAAAGACCGCCAGCACTGTCTTTTAGCAAGGTCACTTCTTCTTTGCTGGAGCTTTGGCATTCCCACCAGCCTTGCCATTAGTTTTGGTGCCTCCTCCTGATTTTACTCCTTCATCTTCTTTTTCACCTTTCTTCCCACCACCTTGTTTCTTGTCAGTGGTGTCCTTTCCCCCCTTTTCTCCCTTTTCTCCATCTTTCTTTTTGGCCCCATCCTTCCCTTCCTTCTTGGCCCCATCCTTCCCTTCCTTCTTGGATCCTTCTTTCTGGTCCTTTTCACCATTCTTCTTCTTGGAACCTTTGGATGCATCTTTCTTACCCTGAGCCTTGTCCATTTTTCCAGATACAGTGGGAACTTCTTCTTTTTTTTCTTCTGCAACCTGAGCTGTATGCAAGGATGGAAAAAGAAAACAGTTAACTTTGGTTGATAATACCCAGGAAGAGGGCAAAACTCCTGCTCCCTGCTGGCAAATCTTGGACAAAGGGAAACCACTTCTACTGGGGCTTTTTCCGTAGAGCTGTTTTGCTCACTGACTGGCAGATTTTCATGTATTTGTTTTAAGAAGATGATAGGCTAATGGGATTAAGCAAAACTGGTAATTTCAAGAGCTGAGTTGTGGATCTATTGGAGGAAATGGTTCCTCTTGGTAGGAACTGATCCATGAACATTACAAACCTTTCCCAGTAATGACATTCAATGTGGAGTTTTCTCCCTCCTCAAGAAGGAACAGAAACGTCTTTCACGTAATTCAGCACAGATCTGTCTGGGGTTTGGTTTATTTTTGGTTGGTTCGTTGGCTTTTTTAAGTCTTTGTGTGTGGGGTATGTCTACTGCAGCTGAGAGTGGACAGTAGGGATTCTGCTGGGGACCTTTGCTTTCGGAGACAGACAAGCAGAAAACGGCTTGCCCAGCACAAGACTACAAAGTAGGCTTAGCTTCTGTCCTGTCCATGCCAAGTCACCATGGGACCAGCTTCCCCCCATATCACTGTAGTTAATGGCAGCAACATACCATGGGCACACAGTAACTCTAGTGCATAGTTAGCCCTGTTTTGGTATGTTTTAATACACAAGCCCTATTAGTTATAGGAAGCTTATAATAATATCTTTAATTACGGAATATTTTTACTTAGGAATATCTTGGATTCAGCGCCCACATTTCAGGTGAGAAAACTCCTAAGTATCACACTGGCTCTGCAGACTTTAATTACTCTGACACAGGATTTGGTAGCAGAAAACTTTCTTCATTTTTTTTTTTTCCCCTCTGCTAGAATTAGTTCATTATCCCAAAAGCGTTTCTGAAGCCAGAACTTCATGCACTGAGCTCTCATCTCAAGCAGCAACTTGACACTTAAACACAGGCCATATTTTGTGTATTTCTTACAGAAAGTTTTTACTTTGCTCAAGACTAGCAGAGTATAAAGTTTTGCAAAAACGAGTGAAAATGTGGCAAGTTTCCTTCTCTGAAAAAGCCCCCATACAGGACTCAGATATGTAAATAGATGACCCTGTTAACACAACTTAATAACTAAAATCAGCCAAGATGTAGCCATGACCTAGGAGTGGCGTCAGCAGATGGAGCATGATTGGTCATTGTTTAGATTTCTTCAGCTGGCACCTAGGCTAAGTCAAATTATTTCACATTTGTCACAGGCTAAGGAAAGGTGACAGTGAACTGGCTTAGGAGGTGGCTCGGTACGAGGCATCTCGACCCTTACCTGGAGCCATTGGACTCCAATATGCTTAAGTAGCCCCGAGTCTCCCATTGCTATGGATGTCTGTAGTGTCACTTTCAAATTGCAGGAATGTATTACAGGTGCGAATCAAACCAGAATTCATTACGTTTACCTAAAATATTCCTTCAGTGTGCACACTAAAATGAAATATCATCCTTTGACCTTGGGAACTGGCAATTCATTTGTACATAAAAATGGGAGTAAAACAATATAGACTCTGTCTTACAACCACAGGGGAAATCCTGATGTCTCACATAAAAAAAAAGGAGAGGGAAGAATAAATTAAAAAAAAAGAAAACACACCACTCGTCTGCTTCCTGGACAAATATGGTAGGAAACAGGTGAACTCCCAAAACTGTCAGCTGGAGCAGCCTCAGATCAGAATACTTGAAGCTCTCCCAGGCCATGGACACAGACAGTACATCTCCACCCACAGAAAAGGCCAAGCCCTGCTTGTACTTGTCCCACAGACTGGGAGACAGAGAATAAATGAATCAATTTGTGTATAATATTTTATACATGGAACCCTAAAGTCCATTTTATTTATGTCCAGTAAAAGGGTTTGCCATATATGACACTCACAAAAGTGCACGGAGACCCATTTGGCAGCTAGAATATTCGATCATAGTAAATGTGAAGTAGGGTAAAATAATGCCAAGAAATGAGAGTATTTAAGTATTGTAATATATTCACGATCAATAGCATTTGACGCGTATAGAGAGGCATGTAATGACCACTCAGTAACTGAAATCACTCACCTCTCCAGCCTTGACTGGGTCTACTAGGGGTTGTCACAGTGTAAGTATAATATATAGTCAACTAATACATAAGTTACATTTCACAACCACACAAATCAAGGTGGGTGGCCAAATGTCAGTGGGGCAACACAGCCGAGCACCACACTCTGTACAGATGAAAATAACAGCACAGAGATGAAGCCCAAAGGTTTGCATATTTTCCATTGCAACGCCTAAATCATGTAGTGAAACTTTTCGGGGCGGCAGGATGCACACTAATCTCAGAAGGAGGGGAAACCTGTGGGTTCGATCACACATAGCTTTTGCATCTAACGGTTTAGGTGCTGAGAGCTGAGTCAGTCCTTTTGGGTCCCCAAGGCTGGAGACGTACAGGCATTTTTAAGGCACGATTTACCTCTTCCACTTTAGCACCTCGCCTACTTGTGAAAGGAATCACATCCTTTTTATTTTCCACTGTGGATAAAGTCTGGACAACTAGTGTTGATGCAGACTTCTCCATGGATGTTGATGGTGTACCTGTGGGTAGGTAACTCCCACCCCAGTACCAGTTCCTTCAGGATAGCTTGGGCAGATTTATATCTGCCCAGTCCCAGAGGACTAGGAGCTTCATAAAACATGTATTCATGAGCCATTACCTTATATCAGCAGCCACTCAGCAACATGTTCTCCACCAACCTCCTACCCTGCACCATGCCAGGACCATAACTCTGGAGTTCTCAAAGGTCAAAGGGTGGTGAACTACTCAACTGACACATTTAACTGGATAAAAATTTAGGTAGTCTTTCTGATGCAGCTGATTTCCCATAAATTACTTTTTCGTGGTAATTTATTCCTGAGTTCATGCTGCAACAATTTACCACGGTCTGATTAAATCTACACCAAAATAGCCAGCCTTTGAATGGAGTACCTGTACATGTTTGTGGGATGTAAAGGCTGCTTACAGGAGATCAAAATTTATGACCATTCTGGGGTGAAATGGCCATTCTGCTCCCAAAATACCCTTTCTGTCTCTTCTGGATATTCTTGTCCTTAATTTATTGGTTTTCCAGCAGTAACAGCTAGGCAAGAAGAGGATGCAGCAGCAAAAGAGTGAATTTGGCCTTCTGCTGTCTGGGATCTACTGATAGCTGGTCCTTACAGAGTCAGAATTTGGTCTTTTGGGCAGGAAACCAAAGGATACAAAACTAAGCATTTCCATGTGTGATTGCTCATACCTGTAAGAGTGCATTAACTAAACCATTGGATGATATTTGACTTTCAAGTAGGTTAAGAGAATTTAACTGTATGGACAAGGGCTTATTTATGCCAATTGGGCTTAACTCCAGAAAGCGGTCTGGCCATCCCCAGTTTACAGTTTAGGCATAGTCAGATGTCTGAACACCTCTGAAATACAGAGGTATGTGCAAGTTCCTACTGTTAAGCACTTAGTTCATTATTTTGCTGGTGTAGGACTAAATTTCTACAATTGCATTATCTGCCTCTTTCACCAGTTTCATGAACTGAAGCATCACATTATGAGTTACGGAAACTTGCAGTTTCTATGAAGCTATAGATCACAGGGCTTGCAGAGACATAGGAAAGAGAAAAAAAAAGTTCATAAAAAAGTATTGAGAAAAGAGAGGTCAAATGCAGAAAGGGAACTGAGAAGCAGAGAGTCCAAGGTATGATGGATGTCATCAGAAAAGAGAAGCCATAGACAGACAGACAGGAAGGTAGTCCCCTAATTTCCTTGCAGGGCCATTTCATCTTCTTCTTTCACCACAGGCAGGGAGTTGAGAGGTCTGGACTGGACATGACCAGAGAGAGTTAGAAGAGTTTCAGTAGAGCCTAGGGTACAGAATCAGGAAAGATGAGTGAGAGAAGTGGACAGCAGTGACAGAAATACTCTTGGCCATCCAAATAGGGCAAGCCATTTGTGGGTAATGTGAAAATCTAACAACTCCTTTTCTTCCTACCGACGTGCCCCAACCCGTGAACTGGCCCTTGAAACGAATCAGACCCTCTGAAACTTTTAAATGTGAACTTCAAAGGAACGACCCTGACCTGTACCTAAGGAGAAACTGTCCCTTTCAACTAAAAGACTGTGCCTGCTGCTACAAATGCTGCGGGTTTAGTGCGTGTGAGCGGCAGGGGTTTACCAAGCCATGGCAATATCTTAATGGCTGTGCCCAAGGAGCCACACCGATTTACACTAAGGGAGCACCCAGCCCTTTGCATTCGTGCCTACACAAAGCAACCCCAAAAGAAGAAATGTGTCTCGTGTAGGTGTGGGCGTGGGAAGTACCTCCAGGGATCTCTGTCAGCTCGTTGAGCGGTGGCACGGTCTCCAGTTTGTCTGCATATGTCTTTGCTGCTTGCCGTTGAGCATATCGTGCCTCAATCTCTTTCTTTGTCCGGGGAATCCGGCACTTGAAGATACAGCATAGTGTGATAACTGGGAAAGGAGAGAGGGAAGCAAGAGCATTCGGTTTAGTCAGCAGATCTCTGTCTAGTACAGCCTGGCCCATTTAGAGTGGGGAGACAGGGAAGGAAAATTCATTTCAGAGGAGTTTCTTCCAGTGGGAACCTGTAGTCATTCACATCAGCAGCAGTACCTACCTGAGGGACATGGTTACACAGTCTAAAGGAATTGAGTTACCTGAAAATAAAGAATTACCACCCTTCAGGTGAGCTGTGGTAAAAGACGGAGCATGTCCTTCCCACCAAAACCGATGTAAACCGTTGTCTTAAACCATATATGGCACCGGTGTTTCTGAGCATCAGAGCATCAACAAACTAGATTAATTATCTCTTTGGAAATTATAGCAGCAATTAAGATGTGCTGTCACCCTTCAACAGTGTGTTATTGCTAGAGGTTCCTGACAACATGTCTTAGCCATTCGTTTTTGTGGTAGGTAGATGCCGGGGCTGTGGACCTCCAGCTGAAGAAAGCAATGAGGAATTTGGCATGGAAATGCTGTGAACCCTCCAAAAGAGATCCAGAACAAGAGCTCAATACATGCCTTAATTGACTTTCATCCAAATCCATTTAGGGCAGGCCAAGAACCCAGACGTCCTAAATCCCACCATCACGCCCTTACTATGCCATCACTCTTCTTTCCGTGAACTAAGCTTCCTTACATGTCTTAAGGATGTAGATGATACTTTTACTCCTAGTAAGATATATTTTACCATCATGCTTAAACTGGTACATTATTTCAGAACTTCCATCTGCAAATCTAATCATGATTCAGACAAGTCCTTGTCATGAAATCACTATTGGTTTGTTTCCTAGACTAGGAATTCAGAGGCTTGAGCAGATAATCGGTTCATCCCTCTACCACTTCAGCCAACAACCAAGCAGCAGCTTCAGGGAAAAGATCAATGAAAACTGGAAACAGGTAATCATAAAATTAATTGGCTCACAGGTCATAAACACATGAATAAGCACGAGATCTCACGGTCTCCATGAACTTTTGAGTTGCTTTTTTTGTGGGCATCTTTAAATAGTTTGAGGGATTCTTCTATTCTAAATAAAAACTTGACTTTCCAAATTAACTACGTTCTTAACCTCATTTATATACCTTATGGAAATAGGTTCTGCAGGCAGGCAATTCCTTGTGCTTGGAAAGATGTTGTGTGATCAGCTTTACATGCTCTGTCTCTTATTTTAACTGGAGTTCCCCTACGAGAAAGGAGCAAGCATCCAAATTTCTGTACACTGCAAAAGCCAGGTAATCTCCTCTAGCTTTATATCCCCACAAGCAATGTATGAGACCTTTGAGACTAATCCAAGGAAATGAGAGAAATAATCCGTATGTTTCGTTCCAAGTGTAAGCCTTTCTCGTTCACCACGATAAAATCATTTTGCAGGCAGCCTTCACATCACAAGGACACAGACCATTTGCTGGTGTGAATTTTACTCCATAAAAGTTTGTCTTGTGCCTGTCCAGCCTCTCCTAGGTAAAGAGGGATCATGTTAACCAGGAACAAGCTCTGCGTGACCTCTCTGATCACAAAAGAGAAAAGGAAAGCAGTAAAACAGCGTTTTGAGGTTGGTGCAACTTTACCAAGCAAAGCGTAGCAGCTCCTCTACCCCTTTGCTGAATTTTGCTGCCAAAAATATCACTCCCCTTAAACAGTTTGCTGCGGAGGTGTTGTAGTGGAATCACACTCAGGGCCATCTAAATGTCACAACAGGACGAGACAACGAAGCTGCAGTGAATTGCCTAAAAGAACGTGAAACTGTAATTACCTGTAATTGGGGAAGCAATCCAGGCGCTTTTATCCTTGCTCCTGGATGAGGGTCAGCAACAAGCTGAAGTTAACTGAGCTTTCATTTGTCCTACAAAAGGAAAGCAAGGTACCCACGTTGGCACCTTGAGAGTGGGTAACGCACCACATCTGGAAAGCACACAGCACCCATTCCGGGCAGCAGGATCTCACTGAGCACTTGCCCCCAGAGCCTGCGGCAGCTACACCACAACCGATGGATGGCACAGACCTTTTCAGGCTAGCAGACTACAAAATACCCAGTAGCTGGGCAAAGACTCAAGGCAAGGTCGGGCTGGACATAAGTATGCACTTAAAACAGCGACAGCAAGCAGGGAAACAATTTACTGGGAGGAATGGGGGACGTGCTTTTTCTCTAACCACTTTTAAATCAAGATCTATTGTTTTCCTAAAAGGACGCTGGAATTCAGCTAAGCCAGGAAATCCTCGACTCACATTTGAGAAATTTTTGCCAGGAAAATTAGCACCGTATTTCCTGGAGATTAATAAACGATGAGACTGTCAGCTTTCAAGTAAAGCACAAAAAGATTGATCAACGCCCTTGAGAATCAAGGACAAAATGCCCACCAATATCACAGTAGTTGGCTTAGCCCTGCAGGAAGGGGTAGGAGTTGTTCTGTATCTCACAGCTCGACTTCTGCTAAGGACAAAGATGGTAGCTGCTACGCGACAATCACGAACAGGGCTCTCTGTTTAACCTTCTCATGGAGATGAAGTGTTACAGTGAGGTACTGGGGACCTATGCTGTCTTGGGACGTGAAATGATTCATAACCAGCCACCAGAGCAAGAGGCTTATTTGAAAATAATACAGTCCTATTCCTATCTCCATCCCCCTTGCAAGCTGGGCTTAGTGTGAGGTTCATGCAGGGGGCTAAGTATTGGACTGAATGCCATTATTTTTCCAAAAGAATAGGCCAGTGCATAAGATTTTGGTACAGGAGATTTAGGATGCTGAAACTGATGCCAGAAATGATCATTTCGCTGCTAGTCAGAAGTTATGGCCTGTTGGATATATTCGTTTTTCCCTCCAGGTCAGACACAGGAGACAGAGTGGGTAGAATTCATCTGCTCTGGTTTGTGTCCCCCCAAAACTAGAGATTAGGGTTTCAAACAGTCCTCCAGGGTCCCTTTATAACTGGTGAAGAGAAAGAAGCATCTCTACAGGGTGATTAACCTCATCTTAAGGCAGAAATTTAAGGTGTGCCAAATAAATCATTCTCTGCAGCTGCCTTTCTCCCCATAACTACACAAAGAGCCTGGAGTGACCAGTCTGGCCCAGGAAGAGCTGTGACCTCCTGCAGTGAGAGCCAGAGGCTGGACAAAGTGCCCTGGGGTTTCCAAAATGGTATCAGAGATCTACATTTAGGCTCGTGAACTGCTCCCTTGGTTAGAAGAGGTGAATCTCTTCTGACCATTTTGGAAGTCAAGAGTGAAATGTCTGTTGCACATGAGAAGTTTGGAGCTATATTAGTACCATTTCTCTTGTGTCTGGTAGATATTTTATGGGTTTTCCTGCGTCAAACTGATGAGATTATATTTGCTTCACTGACAATTTATCCATCAAGTGACACAGAAAGCAATGTAACCTGTAAAGTTTCCTGGGCCTTTGTTGATGCAAAGGTTAACATTATTTTCTGCTGGAAGAGCAGAGACTTTTTTCATTTTGAAGACAACCTAGGAAACTGAACATTCCTGCAAGGGTCCTGAGAGCATCCTCACCACCATTACCCTTTCTGGGGTTTGGCTGCCTGGATTCAGGGCGAGATGAGAAGTTACGCAGCTGGGGACCTTCAAAGGAAGAGTTAGAAGAGCCCTCAATGAAGGATCCCCTTTTCTTTGCTTGGAGTGACTCTTAAGATGATGCTTTCACGCCTGGCCCCTGCCAGAGCTCCGCTGCAGTGGGTGTAGTTGTGCTCGTGCCTGGTCATGTGTCCCATTGACCCAGATCCTGACCCAGGGACATGACTTTCTGGCTTCAGCTCAGACCTGCTCCATCACTACTGCCTTGGCTGTGCCTGACGCTGGTTATACTTAACTGTCATGTGAGGATGGTTGGTAACGAGGATTGCTGTTTAAAAATATCCATTCCTATAAGACAGCGGATCAAGAATTGGACTGTACTCTCTTTCATGAGAGCTAAACATCAAAGCAATACTCTTACAAAAGCTTAGTATGTGACTTGGCATCAGTTGAGCACAGTCACTGGTAGGCCCATGTTCTCAGGGTAGAGACTTACAACATAAAAACCACCCCCAAGACTAAAAACCTCCATAAGGGTTATACGTACAATGAAAGTAGCTTAACTATAAGGGTGGGGTTTGGCTTTTTTTGGGGGGAGGATATGAATATGTGCAGGAATATTAATTGCAACTCAGTTGGATACTGATAACTTGATCACTTTTGATTCTGGGTCAACAGAATGAGGTATTTGGGGGACCAGATAGCTTGGATGTAACGTGAGAATTTGTTATTATGCTTTTCTTCGGCAGGCAGACGGCCTGACTTCAAGCCTTGGATGGCTGCTTTATACTAAACGCTTACCATCTCTCTTACTCCCCAGGTGAATGCTTTACTCACACTGCTATCAAATAATATTTAGTCTCATCCTTTCATGCTGTGGCTCTCCTTTTCCTTTCTAGGATTTCAGCTTTTGTTTTAACTGTTGAGAAGGCTTCTGAAATGCAGCCTAAGTAAACTATTACCTTAACGCCTGCCTGATGCTGCCGTGAGCTTGAAGCAATCTCTGTAAGCTGTATCAGTGCCCCATTAGCACCACGGAAGGTCCATGAAAATATTCACCATTGAGGCTCGGAATGGTGGCGTTATTCATGGTTTCTCTGCTACCAAACTGCATAAAGCAGAAGGAGAAACATCCTGAGTGACAAAACGTAGTGGAGTCATTTTCAATTCTCCTCATTTTTCTCAGCTTTTCTGTATTGATAATATATGAACTTGTGATACTGTGATAATAAGCATCTTCCATGAACTGCATAATTAAAATACAAGCTTTTTCTTTTTCAACATCAATCCGTGGATTGCTTTGCTGTCTGCCTTCTAAAAATAATTTTCTCACATATTTTTTTTTCCCTTTTCAGTTACCTGCCATACAGAGTTTAATTCAGCCACCTATTCTGAAGGAACATTTCTATTTTAAATTAAAA